ACCCATGATACTAGGCATGCACTCTACCACTTGTGCCATGTGCCACCTCCCAACCCTTGTGTTTGTAATTTTTTTTATTGTGTTTCACTAACTTTTCCCACCCCTGGAGTAACTGCAATTGTAGGTGTGCACCAGTCTTAGCTAGCACTCATCTTTTAGCTATATTTACCACATTGTACAATTGATCTAAAAAAATCAACCTACACTTCCTCTAACTGATGATCTCTATTCTTTGACTAACGTTTTCCCATTCCCTGCTCTCCCTAGCCTCAAGTAGCCTACATTTTATTCTCTATCTCTAGGAATTGTTTTAGAAGACCCATGAATATGCAGTATTTATCTTTCTGTGTTTGGCTTATTTCACTTTACATAATTTTCTCCAATTTCATCCATGTGGTCACAGATGACATTATTTCTTCCTAAGGCTGAATCCTATTCTGTTGGGTTTATGAATCATGTTTCCTTTATTGACTTATGCCTTGGTGGATAATTAGGTTAAATCCATCTTGATCATTGTAAATAGTGTTGCAGTTAACATGAGAATGAACACATCTCCTTGATGTACTGATTTCATTTCTTTTGGCTATAAACCCAGTAGTGGAATTGCCAGATCATATAGCAGTTTATTTTTATTTTTAGGAACCTCTATATTGTTTTCCATAATGACTTACTAATATTCATTTGAATCAATAGTGTACAAAATTTTTCTTGCCCCACCCCCTTGCCAGCAGTTGTTTTGTCTTTTTAATAGTAGGTGTGAGATAATACAGTTTTGATTTGCACGTCTGTGATGATAAGTGAAGTTGAATGTTTTCACATCTGTCTTTTAGCATTCATGTCTTTTTGATAAATGTCCATTTAGATCCCTTGTCCATTTCTTAATCAGATCATTTGTTTTTTCTTATAGTTTGAGTTCTTTCTATATTTTGAATATTAATTGTTTATCATAGGATTCCTTTGTGAGATGTGTATCTTTTTATGGAGGTCCTGGGGTTTGAAATTATGGCATATCACTTGCTAAGCAGGTGCTTGCCTGCTTAGCTGCACCTCCATCCCTGTGAGGGTTGTCCTTTCACATCATTGTTTTATGTTATGGATAAATCTTTTATTTTGATGTAATTCCATTTCCCTATTTTATTTTTGTTGCTCAAATCTAAAACATCATTACCCAGATCAATATTATGTGGTTAGTTCTTCCTCCATGTTTTCTTTTGTTGGGTAATAAGGAATAGGGAACAATTCCCACTTTCACAGATAGTGTACTATTAACATTGAGATGACTTTTAATGTAGCCAATTGAGTATACCTTTCTTATGTTTATAAAATTATCAGTTTGAGTCCTAGTATCATCAGATAAATGAAATTTTAAAACTTTTCAAAATTCCCTAATGAAAAAAATTGCATTGAGAACTCCAATGTCATAATTTTTAATGCTGTGTTTTATCTTTGAAGATTTATTAGTTTTTAATAGAATGCATCAAAACTGGAATATTTTGACAAATTTCTGTTTTCAGTAATTAATAACTTATTTTTGCTTTGAAGTAGTCCTTGCACAAGTGCAATTGATAAGTAATTTATTTTATGGTTAAGGGCTAGCATTTAGAATCTTTGGTTTCAGTTTCTTTTTCTTTTCTATTTGGACAGTCTTGTGCTCCAACTGCTAAAGTTGTTGTGAGTATTAAATGAGGTTATGCAAAGTACCTAGAATAGTGCATGGACACAGTAAGCATTCAGTAGCCATGCACTGCTTCTGTTATTACAATAATATGTTACATTATATCACATTCTACAGTGAAAGGTTGTTTAAAAAGTGTTACTCACATGCACAAACAGTCCCCCTTCAGTATGCTCAGTGGACTGGCCTCAGGACACTTGTCCTCATCCTGAGGATACCAATGTCTGAGGATGTTCAGATTCCTTGTATAAAGACACAATACTTGCATGTAACGAATATACATCTTTTGTATGCTTTATGTTACATAATGTCTAGATTACTTATGACCTCTAATACAATGTAAGTGCTGTATAATTATTTGTTGTATTGTATTATTTAGGGAATAAATAGAAGAAAAATCTGTACAGGTTTAATACAGTCACAGGTTTTTTGTCCCTGAATATTTTCAATCTGTTGATGGTTGAATCCCGGGATACAGAACTCATGGATGTAGAGGGATAATTGTAATTGTTTACATAACTAGTAATAATTTGATCAGCAAAGAGAAGGAAACTGTGTTTGTTGTGTATAACAGTCCTACAAAGAAGTAGAGGTGTTTTGACTTACAGATGAGAAAAAGTCTCAGAGTTGTTAAAATACTTGCCTTAGGTTATAACATTAGTAAATGATATTATAGGGATCCCCTTCTCTACACTTTTGACTGTGTATTTATCCGCTCTATTCAGTTCCTGGAGAGTCCAATGCAGGCATTTCCAAATTCTTTCTTAAAGGAGGCTTGTGAGTGTATGTACACATGCATGTGTGCATGACTGCATGTGGGCGATACATGCCTTTGAAGAAGCACCTTTCTTTTGGAGGATTGTTTGTCTGTCTATGAGGGCTTATGACCCTGTTGGGGATATGCTGGTATTGAACTGGGATAATGGCCCTTTTCCATGTGGTTTCTCTGTATGTGCTTATCTCTGTGAAGGAGTTACTATGAATATGCTGGTTATTGTATAGATGCATGCATGACTGTGAGAGTTTGTGCATGTGGGTGATTAGCATTGTGAATGTTTCTGAGTCTGTACTTGAGTGTACCTATGTGTGCATGCACATCTCTGTGTGGACATGTGTGCTTCTGTATATATGTACTTTCCCCCTTGTCTCTGTTTCTATTGGTGTACATCTAAGCAACCTGTCTCTGCATTTGTGTGTGTGCATTGGTGTAGGGATATGGAATGAAGAGAGTGTTACTATACAGAATGCTCCTGAGGATGGCAGAAGGCTCAGAATATTGACAGAAAAGATCCTGAGCAAAGACCCTGAAGGAAGTAGAAGTCATGTCAGCTTGGGGATCAGTCAGGCATGGGTATCTGATTTAGTGTTTAATCAGATATAATTTACTAGCTCTCTTGCTGGAATATTGTGAATGTTGGTGAAACAGACAGAAATAATACAACAGATATTTAAGATGTAGGGTATAAACTTGGGTAAGTGCACTATTTTTAAACGTGAGACCAAAAGGGGCCCTTTAAATACTTAGAAACTTTCTATTTGTTTAATATTTTCCAATGTTATTTTTATTTTTTATTTTTTGGACCTTTGAGATAAGGTCTTACCGTGTGGCCTAGGCTGTTGCTGTTTTAATTTTTGATAAAAATATGAACCCTATCAATGTGATACCTGTCGAAGCAGTTACCCTAATCACAAGGATGCTGAAATCTGACTTTCCTTTAATACTGTACTTCATTCGTGGGTTGCTCTCATTTTAATTGTTTGTTAATTAACTTTTGCCAGAAATTAACACCTTATCTAATCATGAGGCACATATTAATATAAAATTGGCTAAGTATCTCTAGTTTTCTAATTTCATTCAAATATAGTCTTGAGATTCAGGATCTTGTTTTTCTTTTCTTTTAATAGCTCTGTACTTAGTATCTAACATCATATATAGGTGGCTAATCAATACTCAGATGAATAAATTAATAGAGATTGCAATTATGCTTGTCTGTGGTTCTAAGTGCACAAAATGATTATTAAAAATAAATTATACTCCAGGCAAATTTTTCATTTTGAAACTGGCAGGTTATGTAAAGTACAATTTTTTTTTCAAAAGCTCCTCATACCTTATTCACTAGTGTTTACAAAAGCAATGCATAACATTGCTTCACTGATATGGGGAATGGCCCGTATCAGTGTCAGATCAGAAAATATTAGGGACTCTGAAGGTTTAAAACCCTTTCCCAGTGTATTGTTCTCAAATAGTTTGTAGATAATTATCTCTTTTTCCTTAGAGTTTTGGGTGGTATTTTAAGAAAAAAGTGTAATGCTAGTATGTTCAGTAGTTTTGCTCTAATACTTTGGTTTTGTTTGACAGGTGGGTTCCTTTGAACATAATCTCACAGCTGATCTTTCAAAGCACTTGGTGTTTGTACAGAAAGTGTTCATGAAGAAAACTAAGGAAATAATATAAAACGTTTCTGGTAAGATGATCTGGTACCTTATAGTATAGTTGCAAGTTTTTATTCTCATTGGCTCTGTAATGTTCCATAATGCCTACTAAAACTTTCTTGGTACAAAAGTAGTATACTTATATAGATAGAACAATCAATTAATCAATCATGAAAGTAGGTTAACATTTTCTACCAACATATTTTTATGTACACAGAATACCAGTTATTTATTATGTGAGAATGGAAAAGGCAGTCAACTATCAAAATAAGAATCATATACTTCTTATTTAATTACATTGTGTTATGTTTGTTGTGTCTCTTGAGTACTTTTACGTCAGCTGGAGCCTGTTCTTTCCTGTAGAGCCATGGGAGAAACTATGAATTTCATTGGCTTCATTCCACCAACCCTGTAAACCCTTTTTAGTAGAAGTATTATTTTAAAAATCTCTAAAATGTAGATGTTCTTCCATGTAATATTTCTCTCTAGAACATTATATAATTCATTCTTTATTCCAAGTAGAATTTATGTAGAATTTCTGTATAAAAGAAAGAGATTATAAACCCATTCAGTAATTGTTTGTTCAGAGAATGTATGGTACAGGAATGATTAGAACTGAGGCTTAAGTATAGAAAATGAAGCTAAAACTGCAGGCAAATAGTTAAAACTATAGAATATAATACTGTGAGATATGTAATAGATCTTAGGAGTCCTTAAAGCCCTTCTGTTCTGTAGATTAGGATCTGAAACCTACAGAGGCTAGTAGTCATTTTTCTGTTTAGATATTTATGTTTGGGTAAAGTTTGAGTACTGTGTTTAATCACATGTGAATTTTAATTAACAATTATTTTGGGGACTATGTTTTGCAGATGTAGTTCCAGATGATACCTGTGACTCCAGGATAAGCACAGCTGGTAGGTTTACCTTTAGTATGACTTTCGCTGTGTATGTCATGTAGAATCCTGCCTTGTTGGAATGGCAGGAGGATCATTTCACTAAAATACTTTGATATTCATGAAATTTTAAAACTAGTTTGCAATGATATCAGCATACTCGTATGTGTTTAATACTAACTGGCCATCTACTGTGTATGAGATATCCTGAGAAGTGTGTCAGGACAGTGAGAAGTGAATACACTTTTTATCACTTGTACATTTATAAATATGATGATAGTATTAAGGCATATGCAGCAAAGTTACATTAGAATAAGTGACACGTGCAATAATGTATTAAAATTCAAATTGCTACTAAAATGTATAGTGGGACAGAATATTTCCAAATATGGAGGGATATTCAGATCAGAGGAAGCTTCTTGAAAGAACAAGCATTTAAACAGAGACTCAAAAGATGAATAAAAATCTCCTTAAGCAAAAACTGAGAAGATGGGCCAGAAAACATTTAGACTGATATTATAACATGAGTCCTGATATTAAGGCACAGAATTGTTCAGTTTGACTGAAACAGAATTAGATGAAAAATTGTAAATTAATGTGTATAGACTTGATTTGTCAGGACCTGGGTGGCCATTGAATATTTTTGAGCAAGAAAGCAGTGGTGGCCCTTTCAAACGGACCCTTTCAAGGATTAGAGGGCATGAAAACCTAAGAAACCAGGTAGGAGATGACTATGGAAGTACAGTAATGTCTTAACTGAAGGGATCCAAAAAGTTTAATTTTGATTATTTCTCATGCTCTAAAATTGGACAGGATGAGCTTAAAGCAGATTTTTGTTTGAGAGCTTTGAAAATTTTGAGAGGGGTAGAAGTGATTGACTTTAGCGGACTTCTTTTCTCTCTTTACTGTTCCTTCTTATCTTCTCCAACCTTAGCCTCAGTGCTTACCCAAGTAAGTTCTTTCAGAAAGCTCCAAGGCCTACAGTCCCCACTGACAGAAAACTGGAAGAGTAAAGGTGTTTCCAGCAGTGCTGCTAGAAGGAAAGGGTTGTGAGTGAAACAAACATGCATTTGGAGAACGGTCATAGGCATTTGCTGGGACTTTGTATATAAGTGATAGCAATCTAAGTGAACTAGTTTAATCAAATGTGGGAGCTAATCAAAGGATATTTGCAGATTATCATTACACTTAGGAATGCTACGTCAGGGGAGAGAAAGGAACCAGGTCATTTCAAGGGCCCTATGTAACTACTGGTACCAAATCCCAACTTTCACCAGTACTTTTTCACTTCTTGTTTTTGCTTCTCTCTGGATGCCTTGATTACCTAATTTATTTTGCCTAATGAGCTCATGCAGGCAATTCTCACTATAAACATGAGAAGGTAGATCAGTTTACAGGTAGGTGAGGGTATCCATAGTTCTCAGGATAAAGAAGGGTGCTATACAGAGGAAACTGAGTAGAAGTTAAGCTCCTAGCCCAGTGTTCGCGACAGATCTCACTATACAATGAGATTATGGATGGCCTTAATACACTTATTTCTTAAATATAGGATTATTTAGTTCCTAGACTTAGAATTTTCCATATGGCTCCTAACATTGGCAAAAGGCTTATTGCACTGGTCAATACACTTACAGTACTGACAGAAGAGGAGGACACGGATGACATCATGGACCTACATTCAGTGAACATAGCTGACCTGTCAGTTGAGGATGAAGCTGCTACTACTTTAAGTAGACTCACTGCTGGAATTTTTAGGAACTGAATTTTTTCCTGAAACTGGGATATAGTTAATTCAGTGTTATTTTGTATATTATAGTTAACTATTTGTGGAGGTCAGGAGATAGTAGTAGTTCCTTGGGTAACATAAAAGAAAGAGTGATACCAGCAAAAAAGTCACTGTTTATTGATAAGCTATTTCAGGTTCAGTAATAAGTACCTTTTAAATGCTGATTTCTTCTTTATAAGAAGTGTGTAAAGACTTTTTCTCATTTATAAAGAGAGCTACCTGAGGGGTAGATTGCTTGCATGGAGTTGCTTAGTTAAATTACAGAGCCAAGTTTTTCAGGGATGACTGAATTTTAGGTTTCCTTGTTATAGTATGTTGTTTTTATTCTTTAAGTTTAATGTCACTATAGACACATGATTTCACTGATTAAGAAGGGTATGGACAATGATATAGAAGTTGTATGATTAAAACCTCTTCCAGTCAGTACTAATGTCCCAAACACAAACTGTTTCCAGCATTGGTGTGGTCGCTTAAAAAAAATTAAGCAACCTGCATGGTTGTTCATTGCTTATCAATTGGTGTATACTATTTAGTATACACCTTGGATGACCCTGCTCTGTAGCAATACAAGTTATTATCCTTCTAGAACACATCTGTCCTGGTTCTAAAATAAGCAAGAGCTCTCAGGGTTTGTTTTGTCATTTCTCATTGTGTGTCCTTTTCTCATTCTCTTAACATCTTTGCTGAACTTTCCTACATACATTGCCCTCTTTCCTTTGGTTTGTTTACCCCTTTAGATGGGCAATTTTGCTGGCCATCTAGTTGGCATGGTTCCTGCCACTTGCTGTGACTGGGTCAGGGATCCTATCCCATCATTTATTTATTAGGAAAATATCTCTTAATATAATTCTCATCAAACTCCAGCCAAGGTTAGCTTCTCTGGACTGAGTGACTGTTGGGTTGACTTACTTACAGTGGGGCTGCCCACCATAAATTAACTGGGAAATGAAGGACTCTATAACACAGTGACAGACACCCAAGTGCCATGGGACTTTACTTGAGGGGAAGGGTTAGTAACAATGGAGAAATCTTATGCTGTTATTTTATGTAGTGTAAAATCTAACACTAAGCACTGTGTTTACTTAGTCATGCATATTTTTTACATGTAACTTGTGAGAATATCATGTTTATGGTTCTTGTATTGATTAAAAAAGCAAATGTACATGAGTACATTTCTCCTCTTTTATTCTTTTCTTAAATCTATGCCTGAGCCACATAAACAGGAATTTAAAACTGAAATGGGAGGAGTGCTGATGTATGTTTTACAGTGGCATTGTTTTCCTCTGTATTGAATCAGTTTACTAATATCAGAGGGTTTTTTTCCCAAAAAAATGATTGTACCAGGTGACCATCCATCCTGAGTTATTTATCATAAATGAAACAGAAGTAAATAACCACAGTGAACACAGATCTGTAAAAAATACAAAAGGCTAAAGTGGTTAGAGTCCAGATATTTTGGTGTAGGGATATGAAATTGTACACAACTAGAACTTAATTTAATATATGTGACTACCATGGAGTGATGCATACATTGCTCCAATCAATAGAAGCATCACTTTTTTACGGGACAGATTTAAATTCTGTGTACCCATATTTTTCTGTTCCCTAGTGAATAATGAATTGTTGCCATTACTGTCTAGGTATTCATTTCTCTCTTGCATTTTTGCTTCCAAGAGTGAAAAAAAAGAGGACTTTTGCAAATTTTAATTAAATGTTTCTTGTAGTTTGAGGAATACAGTCACATTTTTAAATCATGGTTTGTAAAGTAGTAAATTTCCAATTCAGTTTAACATCTGGCACTAAATCCTTTCTCTTATGCCTTTCAGGAAGCTTCATATTCTCTTCTCTTCCTCTTCCTAGCTTCCGGCTCACCCCTCCTTTCATTCTCACTCTCCATTTCTAATCTGTAGCTGATTTACTAAAATTTCTGATCTTTATTTGTTGGGTATATTTTAAATGTAGCAACAGAAATACCTGGGAGTTTAGCAAAGACCAGTGACACAATCTGAGATGTTTAATGCGTAAGACCAGTAATGTGGTGGCAGATTGTTTTTAGGACCTCGTTCTGGGATTTAGTAACAAATAAAAAATCCTGTAGAATTGAACTACTCCTGTTTTTCTTCACATCCAGTCCTTGGTGGAAGTGATGAACAGTTTGCTAATACATTCTGAATAATGACCCCTTCCCAGACTGGAAGAAGAGGTATCACTTAAAATTGTAGAGACTTAGTGGGTGTAAAAGTACCTGTGACACGAATCGCAAAATCCCTCTAGAGAGGAGAGTGACACTTGCCCATCAAGTTAATCAGGCCCCAGAACTCCTTATGCCTAACCATTTACTCTTTTTCTTACTTTGTGACTCCTCAGCTCAATTTTAGTAGGTCTCAGAGCCTGTCACAATTCCATTTCCATTCCTATCTCCACAAATCAAAAGGCATGTGTTTAAATGTCTAAGCGGGAGAGTCACTCAATCTTTAAAATCCTACAGGTCCATTCTCCTTTTGTTTCCCTCCAGATTAGAGGTTAACTACTCCTAAACACTTTCACCAAATTGACCCAATTATGCCTGATTAGTTAACCTGTCCCCTCAGCTCCTGGTAATGAAACATAATGCTTCATTTTCCTGTCTTTTCAAAGGAATGATCTGTTCTACTTTAGAAAAAAATTTAAAACCTTAGGCTTATTTTTTTAATTGTCAATGGATAGTCACCTAAAGTATTTTTAAAGACAAATTTTCTGTAATGATATATCACGATTTGTTCGGCCTTTCATAGCATCTACTAGATGTAATTATTTGATGGCAAGGCATCATTGTTAAAAAGCATCAATCTTTCTTTCAAACTACTTCTCCCATAGTCTTTCTCATTTCTCATTTCATTTTTTACTAATGTCATACTTGTGGTTGCCTAGTAAAAATGTTGAAGTTCTATCTCTGACCTCCTCTTATTGTCTCCCCTCCCCTCATCTATCTGACCCATTCTTACTGACTCCACTCTTTATATTTGGAGCCATACCTCTATCATCCCTTGCCTGGGTTGTTGTAATAACCTCCTACCTGGTCTGCTGGATTCTATGTGTGTGCTTCCTCACAAAATCCATTCTGAGCATGAAGGCAAAGCTATGCTTTGAAAGTAAGTTAGTTCATGGTATTCCTGTGCTCAAAACCCTGTAATGCCTTCTTTTCTGTCTCAAGAAAAAAAGCTGAAGTTCTCAGAATTTCATAATTATGACTCAGTAAGATGGTTCTCATAACGTGCATACATTTTCTAACTTATATTTTCATTCTTCAGAAACTGTTTTGCATGTTCATCATTTAAGGCTGTGTTCCAGAGTTAAGATTGTCAGGTAAGTGATGGCTTGATTACTCATAGCTGTGTATTAATTTGTACTTGATGTATTACTTATGGGAATGTTTGTCATTTTGTATTTTCACTTTTTGCCTCTGCAGCTGGAATGTTCTTCAAGTAATACTTTACTTCCCCAAGATATGGCTCTTCACATTGTTGAATGTTGTCTTAATACCTCTGCTTACAAAGACACCTCACCCTTTGGAAAAGTAAAAAAGAACAATTGCATCAAGTGTTTCAGTGGCTTAGAAGATGTCTGCAAGCATTGGTGTTTTGTACATTTGATAACTTGTTTATTTTTCAATTTTCTCTTGACATTCAATCAGCCAAATCTAAACTTATGAACCCTTTCCATTTTTTTTTAAAGTTTAGCAAGGATTTATTTTAGTATAACAGGATAAAGTATGGAGAAAGAGAGGGTGGATGAGAGAAAGAGAGAAACATTTCTAGTTCCTCATGAAGGAAGAGGGATTGAAGAGTCCCCTTCCCATTCCTTTGATGCTAAGGCTTACCTTCTCTCCAGGAAAAGGAATTTAATAGGTAAATGATTATTCTGTACAAATGTGGGAGTTTGTGGAAGTTAGTTTCCAGAATTTGTATACTATAAGGCAATACATTGCCTAAGCCCTAGTCTGGCAAAACTTTTCAGATATAGAGCATATATGCATTATTAGGCTACAGTGCTCTTCTACAAAATGAGGGCTAATTGTGTTACAAGTATATATATGTATGTATATTATATAATTATACAATTTTATATTGTGTTACTATACATACATATACATGTATATACATATACATATTGTGTGTGTGTGTGTGTTTGTGAAAGAGGCACACAGAAAGATAAGGAAACTGTATAAAACCATGACACTAGGAATTCGAATATTTAATCTTGACTTTGTTATGAACTTGTATCTTCAGTAGAATTCCCCAATCTCTGCACTTCAGTTCCTCAACCATAAAAATCAATGGATGGAATCAAATAAGTGATAGGCAGTCTGTGTGCTTTCCTCATACTTTTGCCTATGGTAGGTATAACCTGTAAATCAAGTGATTTTACCTGCTGAACAAAGATTTGTCATCTGAATTGTGATTAACAGTTCAGATTGTTAATGCTGGAGTTATTACAGCAATTACAGGTAAGATTAAAAAAAAAAACCAACTTGTTTTTTAATAGTCTTTAATGCCTCTCTTTGTTTAAAGGTATGATAGTTTTCTGTTTGTTAGCAAGGCTTACTTATTAAAGGTAAGGTACTTAGAAATTTGCTACCTACTCAATATGCAATAATATTAATAAGAAATATCACTTGTTGAGTATATTTGCCAAGTCATACATTTTTACACATACACACACAAACACATTATAATAGTGTAGTTTTGGTGATCAGAACAACCTTTTAAGGTTAACTAGGATAACTCGGAAACCAAGGCTCAGAGAGACTCAGTAACTTTCTCGTGATTATAGTACAAATTTAAAATATTTTGAAATTTGTCATTTATTTACTATATGTTTGTCAATTTGATGGCATATCCCAAGCACAAGGGATAAAAAGAACCTTTCATACATTGTTTTTGTGAAGGCAATATGATACGACTCCTATAAAGGACAATTTGATAACATTGAACACAAAAGATAGTTATTTTCTTTTTTGATGCACATATCCTACTCATAAGGAATTTTTATCTTCATGTAATAATAGCAGCCTATTGCAACAATTGAAGTACGCATGTATTAAAAAAACTTGTTAAGTGAACAAGAGAATAATCAAAAGTTTATGTCTTCTCTTCAAAAAAATTAGAGCTAACGGCAGAACAGGTTCTGCCTGGAAGTGAAGGGAGGGTGGGGGAGAGGGTGGGGAAGGAGGGCAGGGGGAGAAGTGACCCAAACAATGTACGCACATGTAAAAAAATGAATAATAAAAAAATTTTTTAAAAAAGCTAAAAAAAGAGTGAGAACAATGTGAATTGATTCTAAGATATTAAGTGAAAAAAGCAAGAAACAAAAAAATGTCTATAGTGTGCTCCCTTTTGTGCAAGAAGTTGAATTGGGGATATACATGAATAAATGTTATTTATCTACCTTTTCTCTATCCATGTGTGGTGAGAAGGTAGAGAGGATTTGGAGCAAGACTTCATTGACTATAGTCTTTCACATAGTTTTGACGTGTGAAACATTAATTTTATATGTGTTCAAAAAATGAACCCAGTGTGGTAGTTCACACCTGTAATCCCAGGTACTTGAGCAAGAGGCAGAAGCAGTATGATTCCAAGTTCAAGGCCAATCTGGGGAAAAGTTATCAAGACCCTATCTCAAAACCAAAGTACAAACAAAAGGACTAGGGGTGTGGATCAAGTGGCAAAACACTTACATATACTGTCTTCGAGGTCCTCAGCTCAATCCACAGTACTGCAAAAAACAAAACAAAGTAAAAAAAAAATCAAGCACTAGAGTAGAGATGCAAACAGAAACAAATTATTTTAGTAGTATATGAAATTAATTATCCACCAACACAGGAAAGAATTAATTCAACTGCCTCTTAAGCACAGTCTCTAAACTGTATACTTTTGTTGGAACTACAAGGCCATTACAGATAGTTTTACTATTTTGCTTCCTAGGTTTGTAACTGGTGGTATTGGTATTGTAACTCTGAAGCTATTTTGTGTTTTTGTTAGAATGAACCAATGAGTAAATATTTTGATATTGTTGGAAACCTCAATTGATTTCACTGAAGAAAGAGAACATACAAAGATGTAGATGATGAGAAAAAATCCTATAGTGCAGGATGTCAGTTGCACATGCTGTATTAAATCATAACATACACATATATATCATATATATGTATGTGTATATATATATATATATATATATAAATACAAATAAAATCTAGAAGATATAACAACCCAGTAGTAATTATATCAAGAATCCAGATATTGACTTCAAGAACTTATTTCCCATTAAAAAGAACCAACTCAGGCTGGGGGTGTAGCTCAGCAGAGCAGCACTCAGTCTAACATGTGCAAGACCCTGTGTTCAATCCCCAATACCAGAAAAGAACAGGAAGCTGATTCAGCTATTAAGTATGCATTGTTATGTCAGATGTGTGTAGTCACAGCACTTAGGAGGCAAAGGAAGGAGAACTGCAATTTTGAAGCAAACTTGGGCTACATAGAGAGACACTGTCTCAAGAAAAAATAAAAACCATTGGAGAAATGGCTGATTCAGGTCTGGGGCAAGGAAAGTACAAGTACTTGGTGAATATGTGGTTCTTGGGCCAGCAAGCAAACAAAACAAAAATGCTGAAAGATTAATGGGGCCATATCATAACAACTCAGGAGCCGGCATAAAGTTACTCACTGACCAAATCTGGGTCTATTTTTGCATTAAAAAGAAAATGATAGCAACAGATTATAACACTGAATTTAAAAAGTGGATTATGAATTATGGCAATAGTATAGTCCAGTAGAATGATAGCTAATGACTGTAGAAAGTGATAAGATTAGAAAATCATCCTTTTGTAGTATAAGCATAATAACTGATGTAAACATGAACTTTTGATCAATGGTTAAGCCATGTGGTGCAGATTCATTGACACACAGATTATTTACATGACCTCAAATGATCATCCCACAAATTACTTACTAATTGACAAAGGGAACATGTGTCTTGTAATGAAAAGTGCTGGTAGTGAATATACAGAATGTCATCTGGTATCCTGTGCCTAGTGGTGTGATGTGTAAAGTGGTATAAGGTCTCGTAGGGGGTCTCATGCTGGAAAATTTTCATGAAGAAAGAACCAGCTGGGGTTGATGGCTTATACTTGTAATCCCAACAATTTGGGAAATGTAGACCCAGGGGATCACAATTCAAGGCCAGCAGGGCAAAAGTTAGCAAAACTCCTGTCTCAACAAATAAGCCAGGCATGGTGGCACATACTTGCAAACCCAGCTGTGTGGGAGGCAGAGGTAGGAGGATTGCAGTCCAAGACCAAACTCAGGCAAAAACGCTGAACTTTATCTGAAAAACAACCTAAAAACAAAATAGACTTGCAGCATGACTCAAGTAGCAACCATAAGGCCCTAAGTTCAAACCCTGGTACCACCCACCTCCACAAAAAAAGGATCAGAAGAATCCAGATAGTAATACAATCTCCTAAGCCGGTTGGTTTGGACTCTTCAAAATAATCAATGTTGTAGGAAAAAGCCAAGAGAGTTGGAGAATCATTCTGGTCTGTAGGACCATAAGATACCAAAGGGTGAGGGGAACCAACTTTAATGCATGGATCTTGATTAATATTGGATGGGGTCGGAGTGGGGAGCTGTAATGGACATTTTTTAGATAATTAGGGAAATTTTAATATGAGCTGTATGTTGAATGATGACATTGAATTTCTTATGAGCAATATTGTGTTCATCTTTACAAAGGCAATGTCTACTAAGGAATCTAGAGATGAAATGTCCTGATGTCTGGTTTACAATCAAATGATCTGACCAAGTAGAAGTGTGTGTGTGTGTGTGTGTGTGTGTGTGTGTGTGCTGACACTGTGAAGTTAGATGAGTAAACTGAATTTTTAAAAATTCTTTTGACTTTTCTGTTGCCTTGAAAATTTACAAAGTAAAAAAAATTTAAAAATCGTACTAATAACTAGAGAACTTGGGTTTGAAATCGAGTCTAATGTAGTAAAAACTCATGTGCTTTCCCAGAAATCTCATGATAATATTTTCAGAGCTAATTCTTGTGTAATGAAGACTTTTTTCCCAAGGAATGATTATTGAAATCAAGCCATTAAAATTTAATGGTTAAGATGTAGAAATTTTTGCCACCTGAGGAGACACTGCCTAATTTTATCTTCATAGGAACTTTAAGAAGGATCCCTTATAGTTCTTTGGGGCCCTGTTATTGTTGTACATACTGCAGATGCTTCTGGCACAATTTTTTTTAAATTAATGAATGCTCTGGAAAACATCCATTTGTCAATTTGCCTTGGTTGAAACACATAGATTTGCGCATTTATTGGTTGATAAACATGAATCAAATAAGCTTTTACTTATACTCATATTCACATTCAAGAACTTACACCTATATTTAAAAGTGCCACAACCAGGTCTTTCAGATTCTCATGTAAACTGTGATTATGGCTGAAGTTTGCATATGACAGGAAGTCTTTGCGCTAAAATGTCTTCAGTCTTCTGGCTACCTATTGTTTCAGAGATACATAAGCCAAAATTAAAAACTTGCAGTTAGCTTCCTTAGGCTTATC